TTAATTAATCTGTTTCCTTCTCTAGAACAAGTAATCATCAAAGGTCAAGATAACGTCAAAATTATTTTGACTTAATTTTGACATCATCTTCACTTTTATATAATTATTAGTTCTACTTCAGTTATGCATATGAATACGACTATGCAAGTTTGTCTCAATAAGTCTTAAACTCCGGTTAAAATTAATTATGAAACTAAATCTTAGTGTTTTTGAATCATCGGCATCTTTCACGATGTTATGATTATAAATATTATCTATATAACCAATTGTAACCTACACAATGGAACGCTCTTCGATTGAACCGATTGAAATTGCTCATATCAATTATCAATGATATATGGCCTTTCATTACATTCTCTAAGTTTCAATTGTTAATTGAACAATTCCTTTCACAAGTCAAAGATTAACATGCTGATTTGAAACATAATGCAAAAAGCTCGAAAATAAATGCGAAGCAGAGAAGAGATTAACAATGAATGATTATTATTTAATATGCAACTTACATTAACATGGAATGTCTAATTGACTTAATGTCTCGAAGCTACTGAATATGAATTTCTGCTCAAATCTCTTCCTTTCTGTAGGAGGTTTTTGGCTGTTTCGGTTACTTTTCTTTATATTTATATTGATGAGTTGAAGCACTTGTTTCTACGAGATGTTTAAAATTCGGTTGACTTCACGAGTGTTCAATCGTGATTATCTGCTGGCTTTGAAACAACAGAAGCGCGACGCTCAACGTTCTCTCCCCTCGGAGAGGTATTTTGACACGAGCGGCGTGGCAATCTATCGGCGACAGTCATCAGTACTCGCGGCGAGCTTTACGACTGCACTTCGTAATCCATATTCTAACGATTCTCGTTCTTGTGCGAATTTTCAGTGTTTCTTATCTTAGCGAGTCAACGAGATTTCACAACACTTATTTTTTTCATATTTCTTTTCCTTAACGCGATTATATATAAACATCACGTGTGCTTACGCGTGTGTTGAATCGCGTCTATTCTTCTTCTTTTTTTTCTTTTTCTTGTCACGTGTTGTGATTTCTTTTTTTTCATATTTTTTTTTCATACAGTGTATAACACTGTATATATTCTAAATTAATATACAATGTCAAATCAGTTCCGTGCAGTTCGCTGTTCAAATACCTGTGTGTACAAAAATTGCAGTAATGGGAAATGTAATGGAAAGCGCCTATTCAGGTTTCCCATGCAAAACGACGCAAGATATCATTAATGGATATACAATACAGGTATATCTTTATCTCAACGAAGAATGACTTGTCGAATTGACGTCCATTTAACTGTAAGTTGCATATTAAATAATAATCATTCATTGTTAATCTCTTCTCTGCTTCGCATTTATTTTCGAGCTTTTCGCATTATGTTTCAAATCAGCATGTTAATATTTGACTTGTGAAAGGAATCGTTAAATTAACAATTGAAACTTAGAGAATGTAATGAAAGGCCATATATCATTGATAATTGATAATTGAGCAACCATCTAACTGACGTCGTTCCTAGACAGCACGCGATCACAAGAACGTCCGAAAGACGTCTAGAGGATGTTTTACGTCCTAAGAACGTCCGAAAGAAATCTGAAGATTTCCAAACGTCTTCCAAACTTCGTAAAGTCTCTAGCATATTCCTTGATCTTATGTTATGTGGCTTTCGATGTCGATCGACGAATCATTCCTCGCAGGGATCTTACTGTTTCATATATTAACGTCCTTTTTTTTAAAGAAAGGCAGATTCGTATATGTATTCTTTTAAATCAGTAAAAATGTTTTTTATTGTATCAGTAAAAGGAATATTTCACCGTTTTTTGCTATTTCAATTTTGAAATGGTAAAAAAATTTGATACCTTGTAATTGCAACTGTTCGGCTTATTATCATTCTAATATTACATATTATTTTAACAACGTTGCATTCTAAATCTCAGTACCACAAAATTCTCACAATCCGCGCGATACTCTTTAAAATATAATCAGTGCATTTTTTATTGAAACATTATAGTTGTAATAGAAGCTTTTGCTCTAAATATAGCACTGCAAAACATTTCGCTAAAAGAATCAGTGAATAACAGCGATTGTTCATGTTATTGATGCAGTTTGCAAATACTGACTGTGTCACTGCACACAAATCTCTTTCTTTTGTTCCATTTATATTTTATTATTTCTCATCAGTGGAAGCAAGATTTCACTGAAATTTTATTTCAGATAAAACTTATTTTAGATTTTTTGACAATGGATTGAATGTTGAGGTTTTATATCTTGGCCTTGAGGTTTTATATCACAATTACTCGATCTAACATCTATGGATTTCTTTGTGTGGGGGGCTAAGCTAAGAAATCGAATCGTGGCTGCTGTGCATCAAATATCATAAGATTAGTGTTTGGCTGCAATACAAGCTGTCAATAATAGATGCAATGTTTGCATTGCTGCAAAAGGTCAACATTTTGAACAATCTATTTACTAAGTAAAGCAATAAATAAGTGTAAACAAATTAAAAAAAGAATAAGTGTAAATATTAAATAAACACTTTTTTGTTTTTTTGTGATTTTCTTCACAAGGAAGTTAAAACGAGCAAATCTGTAAAGGACTTTTTTCTTACTTTATCGATCCTCTACACGCTTTTGAAGTTTTGACATTTAATTTCGGGACACCCTGTACAGTACTTATAATTTTTCAGTAAAAAATTAAGTTGGTTTTTAAAAATAATGTAATAAAACGTTAATAAATACAAAGATTATTGAAATATTTATATAACATTCACCTATAACTCTTTTTCTTATTTTATTAAAGTTATTTCATAATTTCCCAATTGCAATTTTTTTGTCTGAAAATGCTCTAAATATTGAAAAATGTGATTGTTGCTTTGTAGTATGAAAAACTGACACTTATGATTTCATTATTAATATAAATATAATATAAATATTAAATGCTTTATTATTAATTATTAAATATAAAAATAATTGATATAATGATGTCCAAAGAAAAACTAAAAATCCTAAATTAGAAATGTGTAATATTTAGAACAAATATTATTTTCAAATTATATTTAGACGAAACCATGACTTGATGCCAAATATCTTAGTGCAAACATCACAAAATTCTTCATTTCATGATGCTTACTGTATAATACACAATTATTCTATTGGAATACATATACAAATCTCTTGCTACGGAAGTCAGAAATAAACGCGTAATCGCTTGTTTTTTTATTTTTTGTTACAGGAAATACTAAGTTGGAGACATGGTCTCCGAATACCCTTCGAGCTGCGGGATTGTGCGAAGATCATTTTGTTGTGACGTCCTTTAAAAACCCACAAAAAATAAAATTGCGTAGAGATGCCGTACCAATTCCGTACGACAAAGATGCCTCTTCTGCATATAAAGATAATATAGAAATAAGAGAGGTACAAAGGGACGTTGCAGAATTATCTTTACCCAATCACCAAAATATTATATTAGAAAAAGAAGAACTTCAACAGTCTGCAGTACGAACATATGGATCTGGAACTGTACTTTTCGACATTACTGCAGAAGAGGAAGATGTCATGGAATGGATGCATTTGGAACCAGAACCACACACACGTGAGAATGTGAAACGTAAGGAAAAATGCATGCAAAGTGAAGAAAATCCAGATAACAATCCAGATTTAATTATCAAGGCTTTAAGAATAGAAAATCTTAATTTACGAAAAAAAATTAAACGTTTAAATTATCAGTTGCGATATATGAGCATACAAGCGCGTGAGAAATGTAAAAATCAAAAGTCGGAAAAACAAATATTAAAGAATTTGATAAATAAACAAAAACTTAATCCTGTTGCAAAAAGTATGATACATTTGCAACTGCATATTCCGCGCACACAATATACAGAGGAAGAAAAAATGCTTTCTAAGCAATTATATTATTATTCAGCGTCAGCATTTTGTCGCTTAAAGAAAGCAGGTTGCAATTTTCTCGGACAGCGAACAGTTAGAAGATGGTTAGAAGAGTATGATATAAAACCGGGATTTTGCGATTTTTTATTTAAAAAATTAAAAGAAAAAATATCGCAAATACCTGAGGAAGAACGAGTGTGTGCCTTAAAATGGGATGAAATGTATATAAAAATTCTTTTCGATCCGACATTTTATGCAGGATTGTTTTATTAAACAACCAGAATAAGGTGAGACATACTGTTATATATGTTTATGTAAGGTGTTTTCATGTTTATAATGAGTTTTATTCGACTGTTAATTGAACGTTTATCCGATAAGAACAGGTATATTGTATCCACGTGGAATCTATATGGTTGACGTAAATGTATTGTCGTTTAATGCTCTGCAAAAAATGTTGGATTGAGAAGAATTAACAAGTATTGATATTTTTTAATACTTCTAATTTCTGCTTTCTGATCCGAACAGAAATATTGAAAAGTATTGATTCGCATTAAACTTCATCACGCTGAATGCGAGATGGTAGTGATAAATGCTTTGCATAAAATGTTTATAAATTTTTACTTTCTTATCATAAAGAACCATTTGTTCTTTGTAATTATAAATTAGACTAAAAAACATTTGTCTACAAAATGGTATTGTCAAACAGTAAAGTATATTTTATTTCGCCCTTATGCATTGAAAAGTATTCGAATTTTCTTTCAGAGTGGTAAAATTAAAACAAATACGAACTTTCGTTTAAAAAAAAATTCACTTAGCTTAAGACATTCCTTGCATTCAATCACAGTAGATAGAATTCAAGTTAATGCGAACTCTCGCATTGAAAAAGATTCACTTCTTCTGCTAATTGTTTTCGGATTCAAAGGCAAGATTTTCACGTTCTATTCCCTGTATTATAATGAATACATATACTGAAAAGTATTGGTCCGCGATTCAACCCGAGATTGTTGTAAAGCAGAATTCACTACAAAATCGTGTCTAAAAAGTTGCAAAATAGTTGTTAACATATATTTTACATATTATTATATTAAGTATAAATTCAAACCTATATTTTATATATAATTACGAGTAAAGGCATTTTAAACGCCATTGTCGTTGTCTGTACCGTGCTGCAGTACAATCTGTTTTATAGAACGCGCGCCCGTACGCGCGATCGTAAAAAATCGGCAACTATGCGCCTAGCGTACGCGCACGTTTTCTAATTAGTCGGTGTCTGGCACTGCAACGAGAGATGTCGGCGAATGATTCTGTGAGTATATATTTAATCGTTAAATATTAATTATATATATATATATATATATTATATGCAACAAATATGTTTTATGAATTTTTCCAAAACGAGCTGAACGCGGTGATGACGACGTCCACGACGGCGGCGTCTGCGGGGGCTGCAACAGCCACGACGGCCACGACGGCCACGACGGTCACGACGGCCACGACGGCTACGTCGGCTACAACGGCTACGACGGCCACGACGGCGACCGAGCCAATTATATTAACTGTAAGTATGAAAATCTGTATATGTCTATGCTGATCTATATATTATATTAAATTATAATATATTATATTAAATTGTAAGTTGTTATTTAACGCTTTGTCTCATATTTTAAAATTAACTTATTGTTATAGCCTAAAACACTGCAAAATATTATTCAAGCAGCTGTCGTGACTGCAGTAGGAAGAGGAAGAGGGAGAGGGAGAGAAAGAGGCAGAAGCAGCGGCGAAGACAGAGGAAGAGGCAGAGATGGTAGAAGGGGAAGAGGCAGAGGTGAATGGAGAGGAAGAGGCAGAGGTGAAAGAAGGGGAAGAGGCAGATACGATACATTTGGTATCAACATTTTTCTATATTAACACACACACACATATGTATAAATATTAAAAAATATATATATATTGTAAAAAAGAAAATTCCACAAATTTTATATTTATTCATTGTCAATTTCCGAAGTTTCCAAATCATTTCCTTTCTTAATTACGCGAAACGCAGTATGTGAAAGATGAAAGATAAGATCGCCGCTACCTCGCCTCGTGTTTACTGCCGCGCGCCGCTCACTAGTGAGACAAAGACGGAACGATTATTTGTCGTCTGTCTTTTTCTAACCTACTATCCATTGCATGGAAGTAGTACGGACACGAACCTAGGCGCATTTTACTTTTATCACCGCGAAAGTGCGCCTAGCGGACGTAGTTTAGGCGTATTTTGGTCAGATGGCGTATCTAAAATGCGCCTAGCCGTACCCCCGAAATACGGCCGGTGGCCGCTCTCATTCTTCTCTCTGGTGCCAGCAAACAGCGCACATAACTTCACATCCCATGACATTCGTGATGTAATTTGTCTCCCCCCAGAGACACGTGAGGGCGCAGTGGGGTTATGGGCGGCGCACCACACCACCCGGAGCGGCCAATTGCGCGGTCAAGCTGCCATGACGTCACCGGCACGCAATGTCTCGTAGACGTAGTTTATACGCCGGTGCTTTGTAAGAGATGACTGTGTGTGTATCTTTCTTGACGTGCCACCTTCTCCTTCCTCCTCCTTCCGTGCCCGCGGAGCGACCCTGGGATCTAATCGGTGAGAACAGCTGTTGCTCGCAGCAGTTCCTTCGATCAGTCAGATCACGACTGGCCGTCGTAGTACGTGCATCGCGTATACAGTGAGTACACTAGATAGTTCGCACACGCATTCGCGTACGCACATCGTTTGACAGCGTTGTGCACCGATCGCACTAACGAACGTTTAACATACTTAACGTTTGCTTCATCTCGCGCGGGCCATCTTCCGCAACTGCCGGCAGACAATCAAAAGTCGCGAATTGCTCCGGTGACGCCTGACATCTTCTAACGCACTCGGCACTTCAATTTTCGTTCTGTGTTTACATCGCGTGACGCGTCGTGTCGCAACGTCCGCGGTATATCGCTCGATATTTGCAGGAATATCAGTTGGAATTCCAAGACGAAAAACGCGGCTGAAGGAGGAAGTGATAAAAGGTAGATAGATAGAGAGAGAGAGAGAGAGAGAGAGAGAGAGAGAGAGAGAGAGAGAGAGAGAGAGAGAGAGAGAGGAAGAAAAAGAAGTCACCAAGGACTTCACACCTACGTAGCACACTACGTGTTAACAAACGACGAACTTCAAACAACAAAGAAGACACGAGAGATTCAGCGTAACGCAACAGCGATATGAATCTATCGTTCGCTGGTTGTGGCTTCCTCGGCATCTACCACGTCGGCGTGGCGGTATGCTTGAAGAAGTACGCACCGCAGTTGCTGCTAAACAAAATCAGTGGAGCGTCCGCTGGCGCTATCGCCGCATGTTGCTTACTCTGCGATCTGCCTCTTGGTAAGTGATTGAATAAATGTTGCTTGCTGCATTCATCTCGAGCCATTGACCACAGATCACATTGGCCACGTTAAAATGATGATATTGCAATCTCAAAAGTAAGACAGGCAATGGCCAATCGTGACGTAGGCGAATGCAATTCCGCCGGTAAATATCTGTTTTCCATCCTTTGCTGTTCTATCCTTTATTCTTTCAAAAAAAGCCTGTGGCGGTATCTTTCTGTAACAACGGTCCTGTAACAGGAAGATATCCCGTTTCCTCTCCTTTCGTTGGAAGAATCGTGCTTAAATTCGGAAATTTGAGAGGGTACTATTGGTCGCTTGCCATTTATGGAAATATATAGGATCGTTGAAAATAAAAAAAAGGCAAAAGGTTCACAGGCAAATTCACGAATGCGATTCTTGAAACAAAAGACAGATCTGAAGGAACAAAGCAAAAAGAATGTGAACTGAACAATGAAATCAAAAGTAGCTATAAATTTGAAAGTGGTTTAACACAGTCTTCATAAATTTAAGTTTCATAAATTTAAGTTTCATTGCTCAAGTTTGCACGTATGTCGTCGGACCTTGGTCTCGTAAGCAAGTAGATTATATCATACTTAATTAAGTCCGAACGTATATTCAGTTACGCAAATGTATTAAAAAAGAGAGCATAATATTCTTAATTGCAATGCAGAGAGAGAGAGAGAGAGAGAGAGAGAGAGAAATTATGGCAAAATGCACGAGGAATTTTTTATTCCACCAATAATTCATACCGCGTCAGTAGTGCGATAACGAGAGCAACCGCAGACTAATTAGCATGTAAGCTTATAACGTGCTTGTCCTTTCCCGTATCTGTCGTTCCTTCATTACGCACGCGATACGCGCATGTGTCAATTCTATGTTAAATATATAATGCGAGAGTGAGGAATTTGTACGACATTCTCAAGATGTTGTTGACCTGTTTGTTGGGATAACGATGTAATTACTGTTAGGTTCATAAATATAGAAAGTAAATCGTATCAGCGCGGGGAGAAAGAAAATAAGATATCATAAGAATATTGTTTCCAAATATTGCGTCTTTTCCGAGTTTGAATTCTTTCTGCGTAGGATAACCAGATTCGATATAGCTCCGAATTTAATAATTCGCTACGTGGTCGTATATTTTATAACGAAAACGCTGCAAATAATTTTTCGAAGGAGCTTCCTCCCAGCTCCGAGTCCACTTTATTTATCGAAACGTAGGATTGTCATTCAAGGCTGTATATGGAGAGCCATTACATTTTTTCTTGGCGAGAATATAAATGTTACGAGGAATAACGAAAGAGTTGGTAAGATTTTTAATGTATAAAGTGAGACGCTTTTTCTCACTTTCTTTCCAGCAAAATTTAAAGAAATTCATAAGTCTAGGAGTTCCTTGAGCAAACGAAAGTCTCAATCATGGTCATGATTGCGCGAAATAAAACGAACGGTGCTAAACGCGATCTGACGCTAATAACACTCAATAATTGAACGTATTTCGGTTTGAACGGATGTCGGAGCTTTGAACGCGCGCAAAACATACTATGTTATCTCGGCTAAAGTCGCAATATATTACGATAGATGGCAATTATAATGTCACGACGATAGTCGCGCTGTACGCAAACTACTCCCATTTAGAGGTTCAACCGCGTGCGAGGCTTATCTCTGACACAGGAAGGTTGGTTCCTAAAATAATTGTATAAAGTATGCGTCAACTTCATCATTCTACGGCAAGTCGAATTAAATAGGTCGCGCCTAGTTCAGGCAACGGCATCCGAGGCTCAGCTGTTTGTTGCTGCTTCAAAACAAACGTGAAGATTTATCGGATGTTTTGTTTCCTCCCACGAAGTTAAACGGCTTGTCTCTTCGTGCTGTTATCATGAGAAGCGGAACAAACACATGCGCGCGTGCAGTGATCTCATACTTCATACCGTCGCTCTGCATTATGTTGTCGACGGATGTAACGTGAGCGACCGCTGTTGACATCACGCGTACAATCATTTAGGAAAGTATCCGGGCAAGCCGCGAGAACGCGAAAACGCACGCTTCACTGTGACATCGGTGTCTTTTTCGTATTTGCACCTTAACATGAGATATGACAAATCGCGATGCCATTTACGCAAGTTATCGCAAAACCGAATTGAAATTACACCAAAAAGTTATTCGTGCTCTTCACGATTCGCCCGGATACTTTTGTGAACGATTGTAACTCGATGATTCGAGGTCTCGTGACTTTTTAAGATAGAGTTAAAGTTTAAAATACACGGGGTTACGTGTGTATGTTACCTGTGAAAGGGAAATCCAAGAACAACATTGTAATATCAACAGGTACGAATTTGAGAAGATATCGAGACGAATTTCTCTCGACTTTTGACTTTGTCCTGGCGGCGATTCATCGATTAATACAAATCGATACCATCGATTCAACGGGATTGGTCGATTGATCGCGCTTAATTGAAATCATCCGGGGGCAAAGTGCCGTGTTATATTTTTGGCGCGCGCGCAATTTAGCGATCTTATGAATCATCATTGTTGATGCGCAATTAATCTAACGAAGAAGAGAGAAGAGGTTAAGCATCGTTGCACTTCGTCGTCTTGCGTAAGTCCTAATTGCAGACATGAGTTCCGTATAGAAGAAAGGCGTAATAGATTGAGCGCAATTTTACTCACTGGTCGACGATGACGTGTACGCATCTACTTAACATCTAATAGTAGACTTTATACGCGTGAAAAAACACGAAGTTGCTTCGCTCCTTTGTTTTTTCAATAGTCTCGATTTCCACGAGTCGAACTTGACCTTTGCTACACGTAAAAGTATGGAAAACTTTTTTAGATGGGTCAAACTCTAAGCACGATTGCACAGTTATATCTTATATTTATATATTCTCCCCACTTTTCTTCTTTGTTTTTACAAGATTATTATGGATTATTAGAATATCGTGACTCAAACATATAAATTTACTTTCGAAGAAGATTATAAATTATGATTACATTTATGCATTAAATGAACTCTTAGAGTTTTCTTACTCAACGCGATCTTCAAAACCCAGCTTAATTATAAACACGAGTTAATTACAAAAAAATAATAACTTAAATAAAACGCTTTTTGGGGGAAAATATTTATAATGGATACTTGTGTGCGTATATATAAAACACGCAAATATACAAATTAAATTTTTTGTAGAAATCGTGTAGAAATACTTAAAAATAACCTGAATTATTAAAAGACCTAACATTTCGCGCGAAGAATGTGAATTCTGAGATTGTGTAGAATCGACGGAAAGGTTTTTCGGGTCAACGGGCAATTTAGCAATTAAACGGTTAAATTACTTCAATTCATAACAACAACTTTCTTATCTACGTATATGCTCGTATTCCCACGTATAATTTAGTCACGCGTTTCCGATTGCGACGCGTATAAACAAGGTCATAAGCAGTCTACGAGTCTAAGATCTTAGCACGACCACGGCGAACTGTGCTTCGTATATCACTGAAAGAAATGCAAATGTCGTCGTTCCCCGCGACAAAACATGTTTTCCGTCCTTAGACGCAGTTCAAAATCATGGTCAGGCCGGACAGACGGAGAATAGTCACTGGGAAAAAGGACCTGACGCTATCTCCCGCCGACTCTGTCGCCTAGATATACATATGTGCATCGGTGTCAGTGGAACTAGGTTACAACTGCACGTTTATTGAGAGAAATAATAGGAATGTGCGCCGGCCGATAATAGCCCTCCGACTTTTCTTCATGCTGCGTATCTGCGAATGTTGCTAATGCACTGAAAGTAGCGCGCGCAAGTCGATTCTTTGGTCGAGTAAAATATCCCTCCCCTCGATCTCGCAGATTTGATCCGCTCCAAACGCAGATTGAGATAAAGCTAAAAATATAATCAGCCTCGACAAACATTCTCCTTCCGGCGATTAACATAATTCAATGGACTATGAGAGGTCGTGACGCGTCTCCGTTCATTCGCGTGTCGCCTCACGCTGCACAACATAATAATCAAAATAAAATGTCACGGACGTAACGCACCAGGCTGAGAATTTGACGAAGCGATGTTTTATCCGGAAGCAAAGAGACCGGAGAAAAATGTGTATTGCACGCGTATCTGACATTATTAATGCGAAAGAGTCCTTTGAACGTATCTTATCAGACGAACCTCTCTCTCGGTAACTTATTCACTCTAAATCATTGCGCGTTAAGATAAACGACGGAAGATAAATGCGGAAAATACAGCGCAAGATACATCGAGATTGACGTTGTTTCATCGGTACACATTGTTCCGGAAATGTATAATATGTACACCCGAGACTCGTTCGCAAATATCGCGCATCGATAATCATTGGCGAATTGTCCAGATGCTCGATTTTTAAATTTGCCGCTCGAATTATATCATTACACCAGAATATTTGCTCGCTATTAATTACAATTCGTCGAGAAGAGTGAAAAAGAAAAAGAGAGAGGCATTCTGCCTGAGATTGCTCATTTAATGAAGCGAAGATGATTCAATGAAATAAAAATGACATGAGGACGTACGTTAACAAGTTTCAACTCGTCGTCGTGCAAAACAAGAAACACGCTCGACATATGTCAAATCGAAGAAAACACGAGTTTCTTACGCGTATAATCTCATTGACGTACTATCAAATGGTGGAATGGACGTGGAATCGAAGTTGGCTAATGCCAACGGTGCAAAAACGATAGAAATGTCTTCTCAGCGCGTTTCTGGTTTAATTAGCGCGGGATTACAGTAATATGAAGAAGAAAAAGAGACTATATTTCGAATTACGCTCATCAATCGCTATTTACTATTTTATTTGTTTTGTTGTATTTTATACACATCAATGTAGCGTTTCTTCCGGATAGAATGTCAGATCACGAGTCCATGCGAAGATACATGGACTAATAAAGAAAGAAAAATTATACTTTTTATTTCAAAATAATGATGATGGCTACCTCGATATTGACATCATTGCGTTAATGGTTTGAAAAAAAAGTAGTCAAAAATGCATGAGAGATTGGATGTGAAGCGACCTATAATTATGCGATTATCGTGAACCATGTTTTTCCATAATTTGAAATATTAGTATGTATCACAACAAACGCAAAGTGTGCAAGCTCGTGATTCGCAATGTCCACATAGACTCGTCTATATTTTTATTCAAATTGTTTTCGTGCAAAAACCAAAGTACACGCAATTTCTGATAATTCTAACGTCGGAGTTTCGTCCTCTCGATTCTTTATCTGGACGGTAAAACGTAAAAGGACCTTGAGAATCAGAGCGACTTTGCCTTTTTCTTATTTTTATGTCTCCGTTGAAGAGTTTAACAATGCAGCTACTGGGCTTATTAAAGCGACTTATTAAAGAAATTAATTTACGATTCTCCCTGAAATTTTTCCCTTATGTTCCACATTTTTTTTTCTACGACGTACTCTACGTCTAGAGTCTATATTGTTTCACTCTGCGTTTAGACCGTGAGAGATAACTATCGAGCGATTGAAAACTTTTTAATTATGCGACAATGTCGACACAAATTGTTGGCAATTCGTCTTTTCTCCTCACATATTGATCGCGTACATATTGTCATTGTTCATCTGCCTGATAAATTTTATCATTTTCTTTGTGCGATGTTTATCAGAAAGACTAATGTTTAAAGTCCAAAAGCTATTATCTTCATAATTCGTGCAAATAGATCGCGTGCGCACGCGCACTCTAACGTGGTATGCAATTATCGCGTTCAGGTGTGATGACGAAGTTCACGCATGCATTCAATATCTCACACGATTTTGATTGCAATCTCCGATCGACGAGAACACGGACTGTGGACGTATTTAATTTTAAATCTGTCCTCAGATACTTAATATCAGATTTATATCTATCGGTATCCTTCGATCGGTTGAACAATGTTGCGCAAATATGCATTTCTTCGTTGATTTGGAAAAATAATTCCGATCTTACTTAAGATCGGACAGATGTACGCAATAGCTATTTCGAGAATTTTCAAATTATATTTTAAATTATATTTTCAAATTATATTTAAATTATATTTATTTAAATTATATTTTCAAATTATATTTTAGTTTCGACTATCAAACCGTTACAGATTATTTCACAAAGACATTATCGGGTAAAAATAATAAATATGTATCTTTATAGTTCAAAGTTCAAACATATCGATTAGATTAGACGAAGCGATTAGATTACACGATCGATGCTGGAGGTTTCAACTATGATGATAAAGTAAGCTAACACTCATATGTAAGAAAGAAACTCTTTCTTTATCTTATTGAGAATTCGATACTTCATTGAAGAAAGCCCGAAATTCGAATTCCATGTCAAAGTGTCGGGCTCAGGATTTCAATGATGAGTTGCGATCTTATGATTTCTCTCTCTCTCTCTCTCTCTCTCTCTCTCTCTCTCTCTCTCTCTCTCTCTCTCTCTCTCTGGTAACATAAGCGTAGATATATTAAACTAGCAAGGAAATGACTATTCACTATAAAATAACGGTCTCTTGGTGGGTCGACACTGAATAAGTATCATAGGTCGAGTGCGGTGACTTCCGTTGCACAATTAAATTCCCACAATCTTTTGTCGAGTTTCGGAACAACTGACTGACAACATTCACTCGATCAAAATACGAAACTCCAAGAATGTTACATAGGACGATCTGCACACTCGATGTTATCATCCTGTGCGCATGCTAGAGAAGGGAAGAAAAATCCGACGTGATTAACACGTTTCAGCGGGAATGATTGATTGAACTGCGCGTGATATCGCGGTGCGCGAAACTTTCAACGATCTTCCGTGTATGAAAGGCGTAATTCCATCACGAATAATAAGAAATTACTAACACGACGAGTGATGTGAATAATCATACCTTGTGATAAATCACAGAGTGATAAATCACAAATACAATTTTATCACGAACTCTCTCGCTATTATTATTATTTTTTCCGGATATACGCATCAGAGAAATGCACGTGGTTATAAATAAACTTGGGAAAGAACTGGCATTTCTTTTTTTATAACGATATTACGAATTATTCTTTCGAAGATGTTGCCCCTTTTCGTTTACTCTCTCCCCTTTCTCTCTCTCTCTCTCTCTCTCTCTCTCTCTCTCTCTCTCTCTCTCTCTCAGGAAGAGATTACCGAATGAAAGGCATTATTCCTCCTTGATCTTTTCGTGCTCGGCGCAAAATGCCAACGCAAGCAGATCTCATTCCGACACGTGATGTCAGCATTCGTCTCAGTATCTCTCGTACAGCCAGTCGGCCGTACAAAAGATACGGCGAACAAAGCGATGCTGTTTCTATCAGCCCACAACGATAGCTGACGTACATACTCGTCTCTCCCGATCTACGCAGTTTTCGTCGTCATTCGCACATCATCTGATAACCCCGTATAACTATTTCGCCCCGCTTGCTCTCTTCTCTCGCTTGTTATTTCTTCCTCATATCTCGCAGCGATGCTGATCGGAAATTGAGAAGTTCGAACCAGTTTTGCTCGATTTCGTCCCTGGTCGAGCGAGTGTTCTTTTTTATCATTTTTCTCATTTCGGCACATAGGTCCAGCGCACTTGCGGCGCTTCGCGAGCAGAAGTATAAATATTGCACAATCGCGAGCGCGTGCATTATCGCGTAGCAAGATTTGCGGCGTACGTACCTCGTATACAACACGTACGGATAGCCTGAATCGGAGAAAAGACGCAAAGTTCGAACTCGCGAAAGTTCGAACTCGGAAAGCGCGACATGCGACTTCAATCGTTAATCATTCCCTTCATCGGTGACGCTCCTCTCATCGACAGAAGAAACAGAAAACGTGCGTAGTTTAAGCAGTTTTAAACTTTCTCGTAATAACTAATTAATTATAATTTACACACTTTTGTTGTCCAATAATGTTATGTGTAATTCGAATTAATTGATGCAGACTGTTTATTCCAACTGCTCATTCCAACATTGCGCGCGTTACTCCTTTCTATAGATATGTATGTATGTTGTAATAATTTTGTTTTTCCCGAGAGAAGTGATCAAAGAACCGCAAAGTTCTAGTTTTCGCGGGCATCACTGAGAGGTGAGACCTAACGTGATATTTCATCACTTTTACCGCGTAAATTTCTTTGGTAGGCTCACAGAGATTGCATAACGTTGTTGAACGCAGAATGTCATGTCGTACGATCATAAGATCTGCGCACGATACCGATATCGTTTGTTTCTTCCCTTTTTTTTCTTCTTTGCGATTGACGTCGAACGGCTTCTAAGTATACATATCCAGATCAAATGTCAAACAGATAGAAAAAGAGATAGCGTTATCGTAAGGTTGTACGAATTTAATTTGAATGTTCTCTTATTTATCAATTTATCGGGATGAGTATCTCGCGATATCGCGGTGCTGTTTTGTTAATCTGAGATACGTATTACTTCCATATCTCGCGTAAATACGATGCTCCGAAAAATCATGCACTTCAAAATATTTTGGAAAAGCAGCATTTGTCAGAATTGTGTGTTAGATGTACGCACATTCGTCGATTGACGAGTGATATCGTCGCAGATAGATTAATGTCTTATGAATCTTAATTAGCACTGCGTTATGATCAGATAGTTTGTTTTTTTTATTTATTACTTTATTTATTACGTTATAATATTGACTAACTCGTTACTTTATTGCGTTCGCCGATGAATTTATCGTCTGGCGAACAGACCTGACAGTTTGGCACTTTGCGAATTTCTTATTATATCAATTAGTTCCGCTTGGATAATTAATCGTTTTCTTTTTCTTTCGTTTTAGGAGAAATCACGAGTCATGTATTGCGTGTAGCACGTGAAGCGCGACAGCGCACGCTCGGACCGTTCAGTCCATCTTTCAATGTGCATCAAATTATGCTGGAGAATCTACAAAAGGTGAGCAGAACGATTGTGGACTTGAAAAATGATCGTGATGTATCGCATCGCATTACCTCGAAAATTGAGTTTCTCCTCTGTCCATTGTTTATATATCCACTGTTTATATATCCACTGTTTCTGTTTCCAGTTTCTGTTATTTACTTTCCTTCTGTTACCTTACTTTTTGAAGAAGCAAAATTTTAATTTTTCTTTTTGTATTCAGGAATAAAGTTCTCAGAATGCAATATGCTATTCGATCAGTTTGATCGTCCGATCTAATTCATACTATGCCATTGTGACAGCACAAAGTAAAACAGATACTTATTGTACTTTTCATTTCAGTTTTTACCGGACGATGCTCATATCCGTGTAAGCGGCAAATTACATATCTCTCTGACCAGAGTATACGATGGGAAGAACGTGATTGTCTCACAATTCAGTTCGAGAGAAGATCTACTGCAAGTAAGTAAAATCAGCTATGTTTCCGTCATTCGTCTTGTAATATGCAATATTGTATTCCAAACGTAAGAAGCACGTTATCTTTGTTGAAAAACGTTGAAATAGAATACTTCCAAACTGGTCATTAGAGAGTCCGATAATAATTTCTATTAATTAAAATAGAATATGGCCTTGTGTATAAAGACTGAACAAAATATGTCACAAGATGTTATTTAACGGAACGACTACAACATCGATATACATTGTGGTGCTCTATATTTCTCATGCAAGATAAAGTATGCACGCGATTTTGAGGTTTTTCTATCTAAAATTGGAAACGATCGGATTATTAATTCGACGCAAAGATTCATACGCAAGTCTTTATACACAAAAAAAATATATCGAGGCCAATATTGGCCTCAATATGTTTCTTTTTATTGTTGTATGTATGTTTATTTTATGTTTAAGGAAATTCAGTTTTTTGATAAATAGTCAAATTAATAATTTTTATTAAAATGGAATTCATCGTAAAAAATGATGAATCTTTGCGTCGAATTAATAATCCGATCGTTTTCAATTTTAGATAGAAAAACCTCAAAATCGCGTGCATACTTTATCTTGCATGAGAAATATAGAGCACCACAATGTATATCGATGTTGTAGTCGCTCCGTTAAATAACATCTTGTGACATATTTTGTTCAGTGTTTATACACAATATGGCAAACGTGCGTAACGTTGTGACGTAACGATTAAGAACGCACGATGTAGATAAGTTGTATTGACGTTGCATTTAACAACACAGTCACTAAACATTACATTTACTTGATTGATTATACTTACATGATTTTACACATCAATCTTACGATATACAGAATAAAACTAAGTTACAAAAATAAATGCATATATGTCGTTTAATATAGGAAATTTGAAGTGACTCATGCATGTCTTATTATTATGTATACATTAACTCATGTTTATAACACAATAAATTTTACTAAACTGATGTTGATTACGATATTTTGAATCCATAATAGCGTAATAAAAAAGGCTATGTAAAAATTTCTATCTGTTTTTTGCAAATGATCTTTATTTAAAAGCTCTTTCTATTCAAATCTCTATTGTACTAATGCAGAATGTCTTTCTTCGGGCAGGCTCTGATGGCTACTTCGTTCGTACCGCTATTCAGCGGTCTGTTACCGCCGCGATATCACGGGGTTAGATGTATGGACGGTGCCTTTAGCGATAATTTACCTACGCTCGACGAGAACACCATTACCGTTAGTCCGTTTTGTGGAGAGAGCGATATTTGCCCGAGGGACATTTCGTCTCAACTTTTTCATGTATGTAAATATATACACTCGTCGCTCCGATGTATACTAACTTAATTACTTATTTGATAAATTATTTGGCGACGTAGTTAAAATAATAATAGTAGTTAAAACGAATAAACGTAGTTAAAACGAATAATTAACGAATTTATAACGGTTGTCTTGACAATTGAGATTATTGCATCTGATTACCATTATATATTGCAGGTCAATCTTGCTAATACAAGCATAGAACTTTCCAAACAAAACATATATAGATTTACAAGGATACTCTTTCCGCCTAAGATCGAGGTATGAAATATGAATACAATATCGTGCAGTATAAGATAATATTTGATTTTGTAATTTACACAAATTTGTAATTTACTGCAAATATTTTGAGTTTATATAAGTTTAATTTTGAAAATGATTCTTTCTATACAGACGAACATTATTTAAGATTACACAAATTCTCCAGATGTAATAGATATAATTTTAACATGCTTTTTTTGTTAAAGGTTCTTTCGAATATGTGTAAGCAAGGATTTGATGATACATTAAGATTTTTACATCGTAATAATATGTTAACTTGCACGCGGTGTCTTGCGGTACAGTCAACATTTGTCGTGTCGGAAACTCTTGATGAAAGTATGGAATATGATCCAGAATGTTTGGAATGCAAGCTGCATAGGCAGGTGAGAAACTTTCGATATAAGAACATAAATATCTTTAATATATGTATATGTATAATATTTTTAATATATGTACAATTTTATATCATACGGTTTAAACTTTAATTTAAACTTGATTTAAAGTTTATAAATTTCTCTTATGATTAAATCTCTATTCATTTAATAACTCTTACCTTACGAAAATGTCTACTTTTAATTGCAATCTGTATTTCTTAGCAGTTTAATATTATTAATATTAATTTATTAATTATTGACCTTTGAATTGTTCACAATTTTTTGATATATTCAATATGTTGTGTTCGTAGGAAGCATTGGTGTCAAAATTGCCAGAGACTGTTTTGACCATATTCCAAGATGCTATAGATTCTGCTAATAAGGGATTCATTAATTGGCTATTTAAACACCGTAGTATGAAATTGTTGTCGTTGTTGAGTTTACCTTGCACGATACCAGCAGATATAATGTATGCAACCATCACAAAGTAAGTAATTATTGAAATTATATATGAATACACGCTACGTACACATGTGCATACATCCGCATATATATACATATGCACCTTTTACTGCATTCTTACTGCATGAGCAATTGCATGTTGTTGGTCACAAATTCAGCCGACAGAGTGCAACTTCACCATCATGATTATTCATTATATCATCGGATATAGAGCTGGCACAACGATCGAGTGGCAATTTATCAGAAAATCGATTTGATTTCACAACTTTAAAATTTTATCTAATATAAGAAGCAATTGTTATTCGATAACGTTGCGAACGTTGTGCTTGCATACATTCATTTAACCACATTCGTTATTATGTTTAACGTCATGCATGTCGTTGATAGTCTGATTGGTAACAAGATAGAAACACGCTCTTTGGAATACAAAGTAGTCGGGAATGTTCTGCGTATGCCACAACAGACGTTTTCTTGCTCTAAGCACCTAACACCTCCTGGGTAAGCATCCCAAGGCTTTCTCGATTTCATGATGCACAAGCGTGTGTCTACGAAATTATCAGTTAGCTTATTACCTAATATAATATAATCATTAATTGTAAATGTGCCTTAACGCATTGTTGCTATTAACACTGACACTCTACTTTCTCAAAAATGTCAGCTTTTCTTAAATTATTTATAATTTTATGCTATTTTACAAATACACCTATCACATAGTGGCGCGAAGGATCGTAGATATAAATATTTTTATATATAGAGGAAAACTTTGAAAAGGTGTGATGCAATTGTTTACAAGATATTTATTTTTCACAAAAAAAATATATATTTATTATAAAAATATAAATTTTATATATAAATATAAATTTTTATATATTTTTATAATGGCAAACACACACACGCACATACTCGTACATATTATCCTATGTACATATATATATACATATATATATATGTATATATATTTTTTTATTTCAGAATCATTACTTTCAGTGTTCCAAAGTTACGACATAACTTAGACGAATTAAGGAAATTCATCTTCGAAGTATTGACTGTACTCTTCCCGAAAATCCACGTCTATTTGCAGCCATTGCCTCCACTTATTAACTGTCAATTTAATATCACGGAATATGGCATGAGTGAGTACACTTGTTTATTGATTTTTATAGTATAAATTCTCAATTGTAGACAGAAAATTGTCTATCCGATTTTGCATTAAACAATCCGCAGAAAGTATCCTGGATGGAACAAATTTCTAACATTTATCTAGAAATAATTAGTTTTCATAAAATATATTGACAATAATTCTCGTATTCTTCTAAAGACTTCCAGGAAGATATTCAAACTGGAGATGACGCAGATACTGTGTATAAGAAACAAAAAAATCTGAATTTAACTCTCCAATATAATGACCAGTGAGTAATCAATCGAGATAGTTAACGTTGTATACAGTTATTTACATCGATAAAATTTTGATTTGACGTTATCACCGTTAATATGTTATCAATTCACAGCCAAACATGGAATGAATCCAGAAAATCAAGTTGTGTAATTAATATGGGCGACCTCACAACAGTGGATGACACTTTCGAAAGTATCCTTCAAGTAAGTAATCGAACTCTAATGAAATATTCAAAATTGAATATAAAATACAAAAGAGCGAAATTGACTGATATTTACTCCTTATTCTATTCATTAGGCAACTTCCGATCAAGAAGCTGTAATAGCTTATTATTATATGGATGACAATAACAAAGTGCAAATGACGGAAATCTTTGACGTAACCGATTCGGAATCGCATGCCATGCTCTCCATGGACGAAGTAGATACTAATGGTAAACTTGAATTTGATGATTGGGATGAGCATACGTATTTATCTCAGCGTACAATTAATGATGGTACGTGGCATATTGTCGATTGAAAAAATTCTTTTGATTTCTTCCTTAATTCTGATGATAGATTCATAATCAGTATATCAACATGATTTATAAAATCATTTTAATCACTTTAATAGGATTTCTTATTTGAAATCGTTCATAAATTTTATATGACATATATTTATTATTGCACAGTGAATACAGAGTCTCTTTACACCGATGGAAATCTACAGTCGAGCAATGCATCAGTTGCATCCTTAGATGACATATTAGATAGTCCAAACATGTTCTCCGATCCGGAAAGTGAATGGGAAGCGGAAGAAGGTCAGCAGAAAGTGCAAACTTCTAAATCTCCGGATAGTTGGCCAGAGGTAGATCAACCGTCTACGAAAAGTTTACAGAAACAATAGTTTAGTTAGTTTATTCATTTAGGTTCTCAATTCTGGAAAACAAAAAGTTTTATAAGAATAAGTTTTATAAAGAATAGCAGAATTGAGAATTCGAATCATCATATTATTCTTGAATTTAGCTAATAAATCAGGAAAAAATCACAAAAGTGAATACTATTTTAATTTGAATTAATATTTCTAGTACTGCCCTTATCACTCTCTTGTATTTTTATTCACGATACATAAATTATACGCAAAATGTTCCTGAAGCTATCTTTTGGAGAAATATCTTTTGCCACTGTTTGTAGCTAATCGTATCTAAATGGAAAATCAAATCAATGAATATTTAATAATAATAATGTATAGTTGTGTCACAAATTTAAACATTTAGACATATTTCTGCCGATTATCTATATTTTCGAATTTTATTCAATAAGATCTCCGTATTGTATGTAAAAACAATCGTACCAATATGTTTTTATGAAATATAATTAAGATGAATCGTTGATGCGCATATACAAATGCAACACGCAACACATTTACGTGAAGATAAATATGTGCCAGTAATGCTATATATATAAGTGTATATTTAAGTGTTTGTAACGAGACATATATACAGTATTGTATGGTAATTCAATTTTGCTAATGAAAATTTAACTTTAGCGATAATTTATGTGAGCTTATAGATCTCACACAAAGAGACTGACATATTGGTAATCGAAAGGCATATGACCAGATAGTTTCAAAACTGCCGGATATACATTTTGCTGTAGATTCTTTGGTTCGATCGAAGTCTATTTTTATTCAACGAGAATATCGCGTCACTTATAGTGTCTAACAGAAATTAGCTTTATTGGAAAATAGAATTTTCTGGAATATTATACTTTAGATGCCAGAACAAGAAAGTAATATCTTTTTTGAATTTGGACAGAAATATAATTGCAGAAATATATAATATTGAAGATTGAGAATATATCAAGCGATAATTTCTTTCGACAATAGATGACGATTATTCCCGATTGAAAAAAAATCATCTACGAATTGATACTAAAGGGTGGGAAGTTAAAAATTAAAAGTACATTCGACGGTACACCATATACACAGAGTATGCGAAAAAAAATTTCTATCAAACTTTGATAGCACAGAGAGAGAGAGAGAGAGAGAGAGAGAGAGAGAGAGAGAGAGAGAGAGAGAGAGAGAAAGTGAGAGATTTTTTGCGTATTCTGTGCGATTTATAATGCAATAAAATTTCTTTGTTACCGTAATTTTACTGTTGTCCACAAAGTTATAAAAATATGCCAAATCTGGGTTGTGAAGGTATAATTAAAAAAGAATATATATACATATATCGTTTAAAAATGTTTAAAGAACTTAATGTATAAATAAGATAAGAAGTTTTAGAGTAATTTCTGTACTTTTACCCAATTATTGTGATGTTCCTTCGATTAACTAATGTCAAAACTAATTGTGGTAAACCAATTTTATTGTTTTACTTGAAGTATATTAAACTTAAGAAATTTATAAAAACAATATATTGAAATTCAAAATTGTAAATTGATAGAAAAATTTATTATTATTATTATTTATAATAGATGATAGAATACTTATAATAGATGATACAATAGATGATAAAATACGTTTTGTGATTGCATACAGCTGGGTCTGAGTGCTAAAGATCAAACAAGATAATTTATATTATATTATTTGTTATGTAGATTAACTTATTAATTATTGATCATGACTAGAGAGAATTTAGATTAGCAATGGTTTTGTATCAATAAGCTTTTATGCATATGTTAAAGATACTTAAGTCGCTAGAGTACTATATTTATGTAGCTTTATTTACGTTCCACTTTATACAAGTATATCGGAAATGTACATTGACAAATGAAGTGTATGCGCATCTTGCTTTTTATGAGGTAATTTTAGATAAAAAGAAAATATTACTACAAACAGAGAGTGATATTATTTTTTCTTTTACATATGTGCTAGAGTATTAAACACATATACATTGCACTTTGTCTCAATAAATTAAATATGTGATGTGCGCAAATACTTCTATTTTATTTTTTATGAATTTATAAAACGCAGAGTATATAAATAACAGATTAATTTGTTAGAATCCTGTTTGTGGACTAGGTTTTACTTAATTATAGTCTTCCTGATTTCACGATTTATGAGTGATTCTTGTCTTTAGATTAGATATATGAAAAATTTATTTAAAAATCAAGATTCTTTTTTTTAAAGAATAACTGTAAATTTTTTTTATATTTTTCATAAACGATAAGTACAATGATGATTATAAATGGTTATGCTTATATTGATGTATATTTTATCCGAGTAAAATATCATATTGACAAACTTGAATCAAATCGACAATCGAAATAATCTTACTGTTTTATAACCGAAATATAAAAATTATCGGCCATTAATATTATTTAGCATTAGTTAGCTAACTAAATATCATTAGTTAAATTTATTTAGATAACTAAATACTATTAGTTACATTTAGTTAGCTAACTAAGCACCATTAGTTAGCGTAGATATGTAGAAAATATTTTGTTAAGTATAAATTCCCCGGACAAAAAAAACATGAGAAACATTTACTTTAATAAACATAAATTAAGATACTAACATTATGTGATAAGTATTAACGAAATATTTATTTTTCTGATATTTTTCAGATATTGTTATCTACATTTTTATACTTCGCGAGATGTCAGATATTTATACATATGTAGATAATCTATTTTGTTATACATGATTAAAAACGCTAACACATTACGTGCCACATTAATGCGTGATATTCAATAAATAAAGGAACTTTTGTTACATATCATTTTTGTAATTTTGTTCTTCGGAAAACGCATGCATCGTAATTACATAAAGTTTGGAAAACTTCGCAGTATTCATTTATACGATGTATGATATATATATATATATATAAGTAGAATTGATCACACATAATATACCAAATAATTAAAAAGAGATCCTCAAAGTAACTTGGCACTTAATGCGTTAATTTCTAAAAGGGTAAGTATATGTACTTTTTTTTAACAAACTTTTTAGTTTCACGCAGAGACGTTTCTTTAGTCTGCATTTATACAAAGTTAAAGTACAAAAAATTTGTACTATCTATTATACATTTAATATATACTTTTTTTTATATGACATGTTGCAAATAAAACTGTGCACACATGTACATATGAAAATATCCAAATATAGGTTAATATCAATTAATACCGATCTATTATATTAATAATAAATTGGAGCGAACAATAGAAAACAAAGCAAGATCATATTTATATATGCAAATTCTGTTGTGATGCAAATACAAATTGGAGAATAAATTTATACCGTGATATATGAGAATTTCATAATTAGAATATGAACATTATATAAATTGCATTGTAAAGACGTAAAAGAGAATATAAATGTAACTAAATATACTATAAATGTAACTAAAAACCAAAAAATAAAATATTGAAATATCGATATTGTTTTCAAGAACAGATTCAAAATATAGATTTTATATTATAGAATATCATATAGAATATGAAATTCTAATTGCACGGTATGAAAAAGGGGTAAAGATCAATAAAAATTGGAATATTTATTATACTTTTAATATAAAACAAATCGTATTGTATGTGTATAAGTTATATATACAATAATTGAAACCTCCCCTAAAGTAACATTTTAAGGCGGAAATTTATGTAGCAAAAATGACTTTATTGCACATGATCATGATAAATATTATATACCATACTGTTTCTTCTTTAAAATATGTTCCTCCTATTAATATATGGAGAACAGAGTTCCGTAAGAATTGAAATATCCTTGTAATTTAGTGTAGTGCAGAGACGATCTATATTTAAAATTTCCGCATGCAAAAACATAAAGTTTTGAATCCAATCTTAACACAATGTACAAATGCCTCATTATATTGCTTTTAGGCGGGCTCCAATTATTTTGCCATAGCATGATCGTTAACATTATCATCGTTTTGAACATATTCAGGCGGGATCCTCTCCGGGAGCAGACGTGGAATTTCTCTGAGCTTCAATGTGAGTCCTACTTTGAGAACTTCCTGTCGCAACGGCGACCTTATGCTGCGCAGCCAGACATTGTTGTAACTGTTGGAGCTGTGTAAAATTGAAATAAAAATTAGGAAAAGGAAATTAATTCAAGAATTAAGTATAATAAAATCAATAATAATAATAATTTGTAGACAAAGGCAATATTTCTTATATAAGTAGAAAAATACGTTTCAGCAAGAATATGATAAGCAAAGCAATTTGGCAATATATTTTGGATTTTATCTTTTTTTCAAGTCATTCAGTAAGAGAAATATTATTCAATAAAAAAATCTATTCACAGATCTCTCAATTGAATCTTAATAAAATAATGTATACGTACTTGTTGTTGCGACAGAGTAGTTACTCCGAGACTTTGCGTCTGCTGATTACATTGGCCAGTAGAAGTCCTAGCGTGCAAGGATTTCGTCAATAGAGTTTGTTTATTAACAGGTACTACTTGGGAAGAAGGCGTCGTTTGTGACGCCATAAGCACAGGCTTCGTCGCGGCTACAAGACATACATACAAGTTTACTCGTATAATGTTAAATCTTCTTTCTTCGGAATATATTTTCATTATAAATTTGACTAGATATGAGATAAAAACTTACCCATTATGGGAGCTAATACTTGTTTGTTACCAGACAATATCAGCTGACTTGCAGTTACTGTCTTAGCAACCGTCACCAACTGATTCGATAAAACAGCTGACTTAACTTGATTCGATTGTACTTGACGAGGCATATTATTAAGTCGCGGCCTTTGAGATCCAATAAGTTGGATTGCTTGTCCTCCCTGAAAAAATGTAACATTATTGTTATGGTTGCATCTTGCAAATTTACATTTGAAAATAATGAATAATATAAGACAATTTTATGTACAATTTTACATATATTCTATGAACACTATATGTGATGCAATATCTCACGTAATGTAATAATAGATAAAAAAATTTATAACATTCAAAGAATTAGAAAGAAATACCTGCGCAAGAGTCACTGCATTATTATTCCTTATATTCTGTTGTGATAGTCCTTTTACGCCAGATGCTATTATTTGGGCGTGGGCTGAAACATACACAATATATTTTATGAAATATTTAAATATACTTTACCTATAACAACAAACTAAACAGAAAGATATTACAACATATATTACACATTGAAGAATTAAAAAGAAAATCCAATTCTTAGTGAAGAATATAAAAGTGCATCATTAGAAAAAGATTAAATTTCTTATATGAGAAAAAGTATTATAAAATGTTTACTAGAACTTTAAAAGAAACAAATTTATTATTTGATATCAAGTTATTTCCTTTGATAACACTTTGTATTTCTTGGTACCATTTGTTTTCTTTCTCTCAGTTAAAATTATTTTATTACAAAACTAAAATTAGTTATTATGCAAAAGTATTAAACGTTTCCGTACCTATTTCGGATATCTTACCAATCGGTAAAGATAAATGAGCATTGGCAGGATTGGCGATTACTACTGTTGGCGTGCTTCCAGCGATGGCCGTTGTCACGACAGTAGCAGGAACCATCTGAAATAGAATGAAGTTTCAACGATATCTCATAAGATAAAATACAATAGAGTAACTAGCTCCTGAAAGTTAAAATATCAAGGTATTATTATTCAATAAAGTTTACTATAATTATATAAAATATCAAATTAATCAAACCTAAATTAATCTGATTGAATTTGTCATTTAAGAGTTATTTATATATGTCGATAGTGTGTAATACCAACACTTGAAACTGTCGTGCAGGTATTCGTAGCGGACGATATAGGCAGGGAGACGATAACTCCGGTGGGCGTAACGCTGCCACCGGTCGTCGCCGATACGTTTAACGACATCGTGATGGGCTGTGACAAGCCAGGGAACGACACCTGTCATACAAGATGCATCATATTATGTCTCAGTCTTTTTTGCAGAGTCGTCTAACTAGATGAAAGCGAGCGATTATTTCGATTAGATTGCTTTTTTATATCATTTATATCATCTTATGAGCACATATATGTTTATAACGTTAATACAAAAATTAGACAACTCTGCTCTATTGCTCTATTGCTCTATTGCTCTAATTATTCAAATATAAATGTCTATGGACCTGAACGTTTTGCAGACCGTTGATAGAGTTCGGCAGACTAGTGAGGTTTACGCCCTGCAGATTCACGTTACCCGTTGGTGACGGACTAGTCATCGGACTCGCTGGTTGACTGCTCTGACTTGAAGAAGCGGTGAGTCGTTCGAGCAAC